CATTAATTGTAAATGTCATTAGGTTTGCCGTGCAACTGGGATACAGTCGAACCTCGCTACAACGAAACTGATGGGGCGCGGATAAATTTCAATGAAGCGAACATTTCGTTGTAGTGAAATAAAAAAAAATATAGCTGATCTGAGCTAGCAAAACAAAGAAACGTTTATTCTCAAAATTTAAAAAATGTCCGCTGCTTCCTATTTTTTTGCAGCAGCATCACGGCATGATTCTCAGCTATGCATAGCGAGGCCATGATGAAAAACAAGCTGTAACAACTACTACAACTGCTTTCGTGAACCAACGAAACAGTTGCATCAACACGTTAACACCAGCAGCTGTCCGCCGTCAAAGGTATCCAACAATGTCGAGATGGAGGCAAGGTATCGTGAAGCGGAGCGGCGACTTTTGCATTATTCTATGCAATGCTTATCATCTTTCACTCGTGGCTAGCTAATCTTGTTGATAGTGTGGTCGAACAGCCGCTCTGTTTAGTTACCACACTGGCCAAGCGCGACCATAATGATAAGCATCGGAATCGGAAAAGGCATGGTTCCGCAGTTGCGCCCAGCAGCTGCGTGAAGGAAACCATGAACTGAGCGACTGAGCTTAACCACCGAAAGCAAACATATTACTTGACTCGTACTTGACTCGTTCTTGACTCAAGAGAGTCTTGCCGGTCGCCATAAATCGTTCTCGAACTTGCGGACGACTTGAAGGCGACTTGGCTCGGTCGAAGCCAGGACAAGTTTCAAGTCAGCTGCGGGGCTAGCTTGAAAGTGACTTTATGCATTAGTTCAACATGGCCACCTTTCGAATGGACGTGGCGCGGAGGGTGGCCGCTTTTGAGTTTGCTTGCCTTGCCATAAGTGTAGCATTTTCTGAGGCCCACTGCCTGCCGAAGATTCTTGGACCCGCTTTGCGTGACCGAGGAAATTCAATGGACTTGTACGTCGAGCAACAATTCCACGCTTGGTACAGATTCCCGAAGAACGTCGTGCGGCAGCTGCTGGCTATGTTGCCGCTCCGTGAAAGTGGGGACAACCGAAGACGGCCTGTGCTTCTAATGTTACAGCTACTGATGGCTCTCAGGTTTTACTGCGCTGGCACATTCTAAACAGTCACCGGGAATCTTGTCCGCATTTCGTAGTCAACAGTGAGCGGTGCAGTCCGAAAAGTTACGCTACTGATCGCAAAGCACCTGTACGCGATGCTGATGTGCTTTCCGCAGCCGGCGGCACTTTCTATGTGAAGTGGCTGAGTTCCCTGGCTTTACAGATTGTGTCGACTACAATCATGTGCGTATTAATAGCCCCGGTGGTGACGCCGCCGAAGTGTTCCGTAACCGCCAAGGCTATTTCTGTTTTTCTAAAACACGACGACATTTTCCGTCTCTTTCGGGACAAAATTTACTCGGTGCTGTGTCTGTGTGCCTTGTCTATCATTTCGTCCCGTCTAGGGCGCTGTTTCTCACTCAGAAAGGCATTGCTTGCAGCACAACTCTACATAAAATTCTACGCACTCAAAAAAAGAGGTGCCCTTATCACAGGTTTTTTGATCATGTGCCTCTCTCTTCACCATCAGGCAGCGAGACAATGCTGCCCCCCGCGAGACAAAATTCTGCTGAGGCCAGTGTCCTCACCCCCGCTTTTCCTCTTGTTTACCAAGCTCTTCAAAAGGCTACGAATCACTTTTGTTCCCAGAACTTGTTTTTTTTTCATATATAACTGCGACCTAGCCCACTACAAGCACGTCTACAGGCGAACAGAAAGACGAATAATGTGAAAATGGCGTTACCTCGTGAGCCAGGTGAGCACAAATACACGGCGTGGCGTTAGATTTAAAAAAATAAATAAATAACGAAGAAAGACCCCAACGTTCCGCCTCCAACCAAGCAAGCGTAAAGAAACGCGCCGCATTTGAGTGGCCACTAAAAGCAGTGGGCAATGAACGCTTTACAGAAGCAAGACTGCGCATCCCTGTGGCAGCAGGAACCACGTGTTACTCGTTAGCCGTAAAATGGCAAAAATATGCTTGTGGCACTTCGTTTTTATAGTTGTTTTAAAACGTATGGTCTTTTTTTACTGTAACACGTGCTTTACGCGAATAACTTCACTAGTAACCTCGTTAGCAGGCGAGCAGCGTGTTCCTGCTTTGAAGCTCGTTCTTGACTTGACCAAGCAAGACAGCTTGAGCATCTACGAAACGCGAAGGCTGACCTGAGCGTTTTGAAGTTCACTGCTTGCTTCACGCTGGCTTGCTCGTCAAGTCAAAGGAGCGAGCCAATAACATCTCTGCATTCGGGGGTAAGCTTCGAATTGTCTGTGGCTCACAAGCAAACCAGCAGGGCAGTCTCAATGCCACTGCTATCGAGCAATGGCGACGCCCAAGTTTGCTGAACAGTGGCGGTATGGCGGCGGTTTCTGGTGGTGCCAACATGTGTTTTAGACTACGTTGACTGATTTTCAGGCTCTGAAAATGCATCGAAATATTAAAAATTGAGTTTTATTTATTCAAAATACCTTACAGACCCAACAGAGCATTGTATCAGGGGAGCATAAAGGGAATACATACATGAATTGGTACACTTTCCATATAAACAATAACATGACCTAAATGTCAATTATTATACAAGTCCTCACAGGAATAAGAATGAGAAAATATTAATAATAATTTTAATAGGAATAGAACGGCGATGAACATCAGATGAGTATACGCGTGAAATAATGATTTAAAACAAGCTAAAGAAACAAGCACAAATCGTGAAAAGACTTTCCATTATTCAAAAGAAAACATCACTGAATATAACCCAACAGCACTGAATGGCATGTTAGTATTCAAAGCATCAAACAAAATAAGTTTAGTAAGAGAAAAAAAAAGTGAGATACTAGAAAAAAAAAGCGAGATACTCATACTGCATAGCAATAACTGTCTGAGCCTGGAATCGCATTGTAAAATTTCGTTGAAGCGGGACAATAGAAGAAAAAGTGTTCGTTGTGGCGACAACATTTATGCATTGACTCCTATGGACTGCTGACGGGGTATCGTGAATTTTCGTTGTAGCGGGAATTTCATTCAAGCCGCGTTCGTCGTAGCGGAGTTCAACTGTACCATCTTTCTTAGCAGTGTAGACAAGGAACTGGAGAAAGATATTCAGATGGTGAGGTCACAAAGGTGTTCTCCTTCAGGAACAGAGTTCTACATACGTTTAATTCGGTGGGCTGACGTTCACATCAGAGGTTTCGGTTGACTATAAGCTGCAGTACCCTAATGTCAACTTGTATTTCTAACCGGGTCACATTTGTGGGGCACATTTGCCATGTCCAGAGAAGCCACTTTAAAGCTATACTTCTGGCCTTTAAATAGACTGTATAGAATTCCACTGTGGGTTCCTGCTTGTGGTCGGCTTTACAAAAATCTCGTTCGCATTCTGTGAAGCACGGTTTTGCGTTCTAAATTGGCCGGCTGAAGGATACTTGGTACCCTCAGCCTGTTTTGCGAGCATCGTGCGAAAAACTTCTGAAAAATCGTCAACTAGGCAACGAATCAGCAAGTCAAATTATTTCATTTTAAAAAGTGCAATTCTATACGCGCATGGGCTTTTCAAGCATTTATGACGTAAAGGTAGTATATTTGGCAAGAAACAAAACTGGCAGCGTGTTCTCCAAAGTAAAGTGAGAATATGAAAGTGACAAAAGGGGCTGTGCCATAGTATGTGGAATGCGACAATAAGATAGGATACCCATGACGTGTATGTAGGTTAGACAAGCAGGTGCGTGAATACCGTACCAAATAAAGGAAGCACATGGCAAGTATTGGTTTCTGAACAAACACCTCGACCTTCACTGCAACGAACGCAGCCCCAGTGTTGATAACGCTTTTCATAAGCACTATAACAAAACATTCAGCAAAACCGTGGAAGTGTTTTTCATTTCTCAGCATAAAGACTGTGTAATTCAATGTTGCGCTTCCATTTCAGACAGAGACATCACTATTGTCTGCTACTTCGTGAATGTTAAGCCATTTCATGTGTGCCACATAGCGTGCTGATTTTTTTATGTACCATGCGCAGTTCTGTTAGGAAGTCCGAGTTTTGGTAACTGGAACTAATTGTGAGAAAGCATCTGTCTCTTCTTTGTCCCTGTGTATCCATGCTGCTTCTTAAGTAGCGATACACGGTGAAACTTGTGGTGCACTGGTGTGCGTGTCCTCTTTGAGCACCACTTGTTCTGTCCATCGCGTAACTCTTCCAAATCAAGGGCTTTAAAAACTTTGATTAAGGATGTGCTCAATAGCACTGGGAAGGTCTCTGCCTTAAACCTCCCTTTATTGGAATTTTGTTGCTTTATGGCTTAATGGAAGACATTGGTGGGAATTATCAGACATTCTCATGAACTTGCTTTGGGATGTTTATCATTTCTCAGGACCGTAGCAACAATATACAGCATGATTAGTAGTAAAGTTTTCAGATATATAATGTCGGCGATCACACTGATGGTCGCCAATTTGGGATGTGTGCACGGCTGTGCAATAAATGTGTTGTGCACAGTGACAGCTGGTAGCCCATTCCCTCTTTTCTTGAAAGACAGCAGTGACATCATTACGTTCGGTGGCCCAGATAATCGTTTGTCTGTACATGCCATGTGGCGCGATTCCACTGACAATAAAGCGCTCAACACGTGCCGCCATAGTGATGCTCTAAAGTGTCATGATCAACAGACATAACCAAAATTAATCGCAATTACTCTCAGAACAAAAGCAATGTATTACCTTTGAAATTGAGACCCTGAAAGCGGCTCGAGGGAGGATGCATCTTCGGTTATTTAAACAAGCACAACACTCACTCGTGCAAAGCCGGTCAGCATGCTTCTGGGCACACCACGTCGTAGCCCACGAGCTCTCCCCCTGGCTCTCCACCGACGTGGAGGTAGATGTACACCAATCGCCTGACAAGCCTGTAGGATGACTAAAGCAGTGGCCACAAGCCGACATCCCTGCTCACCTTCTATGGTCAATGTGTCCGGGTCTGCTTTCACCGCATCCTGTTCGGCCACAGCGGGGCTATCCACATTCTTCATCTCCACGTCCGCCTGCTCGGTAACCATGTTGCAGCACTGGTGGGGGGACCTCTGCGCTGGTACCATCATCGCCATCAGTCTAACTATGCCCACAGTGTGTTCTGCCAACTAAGCTAAAGCTGTGCTGGCTGCAAACTTTTTAATCTCATTTTCTTCCCCAAACTTTCTGCCTTCTCTTGGAAAACAGTCTTTTAAGGTATGTCACCACCTTTTTAAAAAAACTTTGGAAATTTTAATCTCAAGTTTATTGCTTAGAGTCCACTTTGAGAGGGGCAGTTTTACAAGACCCTTCAAGCTTGTTATGAAGAAAAGTTAAACTAACTAAAATTTAGTCGCCAATATCAACTAAATAAGCCTCTCGCACCAGCAGTCACCACATGAAAAGAAAATGGACCACATGAAAAAAAAAAAAAATTCGACCACACGAAAAGAAAATGGCTTGGATGCCCTGTGTTTGTATGCAGAGGCCTCGCAACGAACGAGGATATTTGTCTTATCAATACTAGAAAAATACATTCCAAAGCTACAAAATTCGGTTGCATTTAAATAGAATTCACAATTCTGAATTGTTCCAGTTCATTATACATGTTAATGACTCATAAAGGAGCCCAGGAAGTTTCATTGCAATATATTAGTTTGCTCAAAAGTTTCAAGCTTTTGCACAATGTAACACACATAAAAGTCAAGTTCTGAAAAAAAAAAAGACAAGAAAAAAAGATTTCAGAAACATGCAATTTTTTATGCGACCCCTGACCCACAGAGAACAGCCGCCATCGGAAAGTTTTCACATTCCTCTGAGGCGGTCCACTGGTTCATGGGTCCTTGCGCCTACTAGAGGCGTTTTGTAAGAACCTTCCCTCAAAGCCACTGAGTGGGAGAAGTGCCACGAAGACTTCTTATGACAGACGATTGCCACCAGCACTTGGTTATTTCGATAAGAGTGCAGAGGTGCACACGAACGCAAGTGGCGTAGTGCTAGGCACTGTGCTAGTTCAAGCAAGAAAGATGGCATCGAATGGGTCATCCCATATGTCAGCAAGTCTATTCAGAAGGTAAAATGCTGTTACTCTACAACCGAAAAGGAGCACCTTGCCATCGTCTGAGCGGCCCCAAAATTTCGACCCCACTTGTATGGCAAGCCGTTCTAAGTTGTCAGAGCACCATGCTTTGTGTTTGCTCGCCAACCTCAAGGAGCTGTCTGGTCGCTTGGCCCATTGCAGCTTACTGCTATAAGAGTTTGGCGTCACAGTGGTCTATAATTGAGGAATAAAGCATTCTCACACATACCGAAACCCCATCGACTCATCTTCCCCTGAGCCAATAAGTGCTAGTAATTTTGTAGACAAGCAACAGGTCGAACCTATGCTGCGTTATTGACAGGAAGTACAAACGTGCCAGCTGTGTCTACTCGGGAAGAAATTCACACCAAACAAGTCGACATATGTTCTAGTTGTTCCAGACAGTTCAGGGCAACAGATTTTGCAGGTGTCTCATGACCAGCTTGCCGCCTGTCATCTTGGGTTCGCTTGTACTTTACTAATGATCCAAAAAAAATTACTACCGGCCACATCTCAATGTTGATGTTGCCCACTACGTCAGGATCTACCATGACTGTCAGCGCCTCAAGACCCCACCTGTTGTACTTGTGCAGCCTATTGACCCTCCAACAAAACACTTCAAAGAAATCGGAATAGACCTGCCTAACCCATTTCTGGCGTCGTCTTAAGGAAAAAAGTCAATAGCAGTGGCGACAGACTACCTGACACGCTACACCGAAACAAAGGCGCTACCATCAGGAAGTGCCCCAGAGATCCCAAGAGTTTGTGAGGAACATTGTTCTCTGGCATGGTGTGCCCCAAGTCCTCGTTAGTGACAGGGGAACAGCATTCACTGTGAAGCTCACGCAACAGATGCTGCATTTTAGCCACACGTGTCATTAACATACTACCACCTACCATGCCCAAACGAATGGCTTTATGAAGCAATTCAACAACACGCTGACCAACATGCTCGCTATGTACATGAATGTCAAGCACAAGATGTGGGACAAAGTTCTCCCTCACATTACCTTTGCGTATAATATGGCACTAGAAAACGCATATGACCCCTTTCAAACTTTGAAGCCACTTCTATGCTAAATGCCATGCTGCCACAAGTCAACGATGAGAACATCAACCAATATGTTGCCAGCTTTCGACAACATGACAAGGAGGCCCACCAGCTTGCCTGAACACTCATCAAGAGGCAGCAACACACAGATGCCAAACATTACAACTTCCAACAGCGGGTCCTGGACCTCACACTTGGTGTCGTAATGGTGCGAACACTGAGTTTCTGTCGCAGCAAGAAGCTTCACCATCAATATTTTGGCCTTGACAAGGTCACACCAGACCTTGGGCTACTCACCCACAAAGTTGTTCCTGATAGGATTATGCAATTTCAACGACGCTGAGTACGCCCCAGGTTTTAAGTGTTAAACTCTCGTACTGCGTTTCATGGTGTGTTTACTTTTCCTAATTGTTTTTTCTTGCAAGTTTTACATTTTGTTTGTATTGCATTCACTGTAGCATCAGGACAATGTTCTCCCACGTGCCACGTGCATTTACGTTAGTGTCTGTTTCATTGAGGAGATCTGTTCTCATGTCGTTGGCATGTTGCTCCATCGCTCGTTCGTGGCATGTCTGTCGTAAACAGTGGAACGAAATGTTTCATGTGCACCTTGCGGTGTCGCTGAGCGAGTCAGCCATGACTGTTATAATAAAAATAAAGAAAGACTGCATTGGCAAAATAACAAGCACTCTTTCCACTAATGTTCAGTTGCACATATTGTTTCCCTGAATATTTTCTTTTTGACAGCAGTTCTTTTACGGGCACAAGTTATCCTAAATAAAATTTATTTATTTAGAGGTCACCTTGTCTGCACGTGGGGAAAAGCACCGTCACTTTAATGTGACAATATTCTTCGTACATCGATTTCGTATCTAAAGTGCATGTGTGTATATAAAGGAAAGCCTGGTCATCATTTGTCAGAAGAAACAGTACCGCAAGAGCTGAGAACGCCATTCCACAACTTTGTTATTACCAGCAGTCGTGCCAGGAAGGGAGTTCTGCTGTAAAAGGGGGGGGAAAGGGAGAGGGTTCATAGCTTTATGTAACGTCTCAATCATTTCATTTACACATCAGTTGGCTAAAGAAGATTGGACAGCATGTGAGTGTTCAAGTACTGTACTCACGGATTGAAATGGAACACTTGGTAAAACACGTTGGTGGGCTAGTTGGTTTGCATCCATGAATTCTAAGTAACCATGAGCACAAGGTCGTAGAAGAGTACTGACACAGGCAGAGCGCTACTTTCAACTGATATTTTATTTTCACACAAAATGATGAATATATACAGAGCGAGCACGGAAATAACATGAACGTAAACCTACTGTCACATGCTTGCTCAAGAACGTAGACGGCAGTTCTGCATGTGCCATGAAGGACTATGAAATTGAGGAAAAAGAAAAACTCGCTTGTGCGTTCTATTAAAGAGACCTACCTGCTTCTGGTCTCTCCATCTCTGCGGCAAGACCTCTGTTCTGACGTCGTGACACTGGTGGAGGTGCTGGAGCCTGCAACCTGATGCAGGACAGTCTTCCTCGAACCCGTTCACCTAGTCCAGAGACTCAGCCCCTCATCATGACTCCGGTGCACTGATTTAGTCGGCGTCTACTAGGCCCAAGTCCGGTGTCCGCACCTGTTCCGCCTTTTTCTAGCATGGCAGTTCCTACGACATCCACGGTTAGCCTTCTATCGCAGCCCACTCTTCCCTCGCAGGTGACTCTTGAACATCCTCGCGTTCCTGAAGTTTTCTATGGGGAAGAGTTCGAGGATGTCGAGGACTGGCTCGAACAGTTCGAACGGGTCGCTGTATCCAACCACAGGAGCAAACAGCACAAACTTAGTCGTGCATATTTCGCACTGGAAGATGACGCTCGCACGTGGTACGAGAACCCCGAGACTACATTCCAATCTTGGGAAGATTTCCGTCGAAAGCTCCTCGCTACATTTTTTAACTCGGACCGACGGGATTGCGCACAGCAACTGATTGAGGCCCGCGTGCAAAACCCCAACGAAACAGCCGCCATTTTCGCAGAGGGTATGATCCGTCTGTTCGGACAAGCTCACCCTGACATGCCCGAGGCGAAGAAGGTGCGTCACCTATTGCAGGGTGTTAAAGAACCAGTGTTTGCGGGCCTCGTACGAAATCCACCTACAACAGTAGATGAATTCATAAGAGAGGCGACTGTCATCGAGCGCGCACTGCAACAACGATGCCGACACTTTGACCACCTGCCGAACCACAGGCCAGTAAGTGCTGCAGCTCAGAACACTGTCATATGCGAAAGTTCCCTGTGACAAATGATTAGGAAAATTTTTGCATGAGGAACTTCGGACCCTCTGCGTTACCCTTACCCAACTGCCTGTCGCATCTGTTGCCGAAATCGTCCGCCAGGAGTTGAGGCAAGCCGTTACACCACCCACGCCAAGTGCTGAGCCACATCCAGCGAGCTACGCTGATGTGGTCCGTCGTCTTTCACCGTCATTTATGGCGACACCTATCCAGCCACGACCTGCTGCCGTACCTTGGTGGCAACGGGATTCTACAAGACGACCACCAATTCGCCGAATAGACTTATGGCGCATGGCCGACCGTCGACCTATTTGCTTCCGCTGCGGAGAACCCAGTCACATTGCCCGCTATTACCGTCATGGCGATTCCGGGTTCGGGAACTTTGCTCGTCCCGCTTCTTTTTGCTCTGAAGACCGTCGTGCCCACGATGCCGATCAGCTGTCGCCTATCCAAGCGACTCCACCGCGTAGTTGGTGATATCCATCACCTGCGCATCCCCGTGACTTTCCTCAGAGCTACGCAGATGTCACCAGAGGCCGTTCGCCTAGCCCTCTCTTGGGAAACTAACAGCTGCGACCTCCGGGGGCAAGGTTGCCAATCGTCGAGACACCAAAAAGTTTCCCCTATCATCGCAAGAAGATATGACGACAATGACGACGAATACTAATGC